GCTCCATTTCTGTGGCAAAATGGAGTTTGGAAGAGGCGAAGATAAGTTCCTTACAGTTCTTGTGCTTGCTTCCACGGCTTCTACAAGACATAAAGTTTCCAAATGTCTTTTTTGCCTTAACACATGGCTTACATGTGGTGTCTTGCTCACTGCACTATTGTTTCTTTCAGGGTTGAGATGCAGAAGATGAGAGTGATGAGGCCATCCCCTGACGTAGCCCGGTACACAATGATCTTCCACACTCGAGACCAGGGCAACGAAGAGAATGGAGAGAGGTGAGTCAGGGACAGTGTTCCACCTTGCACTGCCTTGGTAGGTGGCTAGCAGCCAGGGAACTGGTGGCCCAGTTTTTCACTGTAGGCCAAATAAAACATTCTGTGGTGCCAGAGTCTCTGGGGGACACTACTGTAACACCATTGTTCACAGCTGGCAGCTACGGTTTTGTGCATGACATCTCCTGTAACTGCCTGGGTAATGTTCCTTAAAAACTTTCAAAGTTATAGTCACATAGATGTGATTAGAGCATGTGATTTCAGAGAGTAAATGGTTTTAAAAATACCCCAAACCGCACAAAATCCAAGGACTATTTTCCTGGGTCTGACTGAGCATGCATGATCGTGACAGGAAGAGCAGGACTTGATGTTCCCAGTAAACCCAGAATGGATGCTGCTTCACCTGCCAGTTTACTAGTAATGGGCAAGAGCTCAACACTCCTCTTCTGTGCATTTTAATTTTGTACTGATTTTCTTCTCTGTCCTGTCCTCAGGATGAAGCTTTTACGCCAGGTGTCTAGAACGTGGAAAACAGATGGGCTGAATTCTTGTTCATATAAATTGCTCTCAGTGGAACATAATCCTTTATACATCAACATCACAGTGGATTTCAGCATGCAGCCTAAGGTCTCGTAAGGATGTGCACCACACAGATTCTAGGAGACGGGGACAAATCTTCTGTTTGTGATAGCTGCTACAGCAGCTGAATCCTAGCATTCTGCTTGAATGAATACTTCAGTAGCACAGAGGAAAGAGTTGTTCTTCACAGCGTCTAACTGATTGGTTGAAATTTTCCTTTTGTGAGGACTGAAGTAGTAGACTGACCTTAGGGACAGTTTCTGGTGTCCTATGCACTTTCTGCTGGGACATATAAAAGTTTCCTTGTTTGGGCTGGTCCAGTGGAAGGACTTGAACTATGCCTTCTGAAAAATTTCTGCTCTCACAACTATTGCTACACTTACTGTTTGTTGAACTGGGAAGGCAGCCTAGCACTGCCATGACTTCAAAAGGAGCAGGCCAGTCTTTTCTCAGTCAAAGCACAAGAATACTTCAGCATCTACAAACTTGCTGAGAAAAGCAATTTTTTCCAGCCTAAAGGAAAAACTGCTTATGTGTGAGGGAAGGCAATAATGGTAACAGTTGAGCAGATGTTAAAAACCTCTCAATAAAATAAAAGAATTTCATTCAAAAGGCATCTCTTGTCCTTCCTTCGTAAGCTCAACTCACCATGCAGTGCGAGTGCTCAAGTGTCCTGCAGCAAAATGAAAGGCTCACTTAATTCTGCAGTAGTCTCCAGGCTGTGTTACTCTGGAGAGATCTGTATGGAAATGCCCTGGCTAGCTATGGGAGACAGATTGTGTGTGTGTGTTGTTTTTTTTTTTAAGGCTTTGTGCCTCACTGTTGGCACAGCACATATTCATATGAATATCCAGGCCATTATTATTAGTTTTCCACAAATCTCCACCAATCTTCTAAAAGAAGAAACACAAACACTTCCAGTATGCAGCAGGATTTCTGCTGAAAACTGATGAGAGCAGTAATGAGAAATAGCTGTCTCAAGCTTGCAAAATAATTGTCTGATAGGCAGTGCTGCTGACTACTTTTATAGAGAAGAGATTACAAAAAGGGCAAGGTCTCAGAGTCAGGTAATTACCTGCCAAGGTCACAGCTCATGTGACTTGTTCATTCTCTGGTATTTCGTTTCTCAGAAGTACTTTATGTTGAAGACGGTTCAAGCCTGACAAATTACAGAGGTGATTGTCTGAGCAACAGCTGAAATACTAGATTCATTTCCCTGTACTTAGCTGTTTGGACCAGATGATAAGCCTGAGGTCCCTTCCAGCCTGAACTATTCTATGACTGCAATAAAAACATGTAACTACTGATGGACCTGGCTGGAGGCAGAAATAAGGATGGGACCTCTGGTTTCTCTGACTTCAGGGTACCTTTCTCCTTCATTAGACTCTTAATAAGTATTCTAGAAAACCTCAAACCAAACAGCTATCTCAATTTATTTTACTCAAATTCACAGAAGATATTCACAGAAATGTAACAGGCTTCAAAACTGTAACACTGTCAGTGAATTCTTTTTCCAAATACAACATTTCAGAGGAGCTGGTGCCCCAACAGGATAGGAGTGTCTGACGGCACAACTTGCATCTCATTTAAAATTTAAGTAAGCAGCAGGAGAGAGCTATCCAGCTATAGAACAGAGGGTACTAGAAAACTTTTGTCACCTTACTGTCAAGGAGATCTTAATCCTCAAGGCCTGAGGTGCATCTGGCTCAGTAGGTATTGTTTACAGTGCTTTGAGAGAGTCTTTATACAGTAAGCCATATCCTATTCATTAGCTTTCATACCCTATTCCTGAAGTCTTTTCTTCCAAGTCTTGTACACTCAGAAGAGAAGTGAAATACAGGAGACAAAAGGACTAGTCTCAGGTGGTACAGACTCTGTACCACAGGAGGTAGACGCTAAATGCCCGTGTGCTGCCATGGTAAGCTCAAACTCAAGTTTGTCTGTTTTCAAGTTGTCTTTCCATTCCCTTAAGAAAATGGAGGAACATAGCCAATGTCTACAGTGATGTTAGTATAAAGAGGGTGCTTCTTCCTGGAAAGGAGCTTGAACTCTAATGAGTTCATTCCATCATCCTTCCATGTTTTTCTGGTGTTGTGCCGGGAAACAGGCCTGAAGAAGGAAGAATACCTGCAGTTAGATGCAAAAAAACCCAACCAACCAAACAAAAAACAAACAAAAAAAACCCCAGCCAAACCAAACACACACCCCCAACCCACTCACACAGAAAATGTTTGCAGCTGCTGCTTTAGAATAGAAGGGGGGGCTGCGTGTTTAGAAAAGGAGGGGGGGGGGGGGAAATGGTGTTCCAGATGGCAAGTGCTTTAGCAGACGAATGAATGCTACCAGCAGACAAGCCCCAAGAAGAATCTTCTCACATAATCTAGTTTAGAGAGAGAGAAGGTATTTTATGAGATTAAACTGGAGTAACTTCATGCTGAGGCTTATAAGCAAGGAGCACAATTTGGACTGGAACACAGGAGATGAGTGAGGTGGCAACTATATTCTGCAAAAATAAGAAGAACTTGGCAGCAGCTTAGCAAGACCTGGGACTGCAGGAAAGAGGTCTGCAGTACTGCTGTATAAAGGCTGCTATAGGTAGATTTAGTACAGGACTGTTCTGGAAACCTCAGTGGTAAGACACTGAGAGGGAAGTCTGATGCCTCAATAATGAGGTGCCTCCAGCACACTTTAACCAGCCCCCTCCTCCAGCTCTTTTATGTAAAGTAGTTCATTGTTACAGGTCGCTGTCATGCACCTTACTCATTTCTTCAAGTTAGAACACTGCCTTCCACTGTTTTAATGGGTCATGGTAAAGCTGCAATGCTTTTAATGTACTGTAAGCCTGGGACAGAAGAATAAATTTTTATTATAAAGAGGTTGCATAAGAATTTTTAGAAAAGGCATAACAAAAGGATCTTCATACACAATTTGCCCTATTTACAAGGCAAACTGAGGTGGCACTTTAATGCTCAAGTTTGACATTACTGGCAGCTTTCTATCAAAAACAACACTTTCCTACCAAGTAAGACAGAAGGAAACAAAAGTAATGCATCCACGCTTCGCATTTAGAAACATAGGCAGTACAATTCAGTTGAAACTGACTGGGGATCTGTACTAGCATCTAATATAACTTGTGTGTGTTGATGGGACATCTTTTGTATGACTTTACTGCATCTGATAGCGCTTAGACTAATCTAAATTAGAACAAGGCAAAAAGGTGTTTTCAAGATGGAGCATCCTCAAATCCATCAGCCAAAAAAAAAGGGAGTCTCCTTTATACAGCAGCATTAGGTATACTTGCCACTTTGTTTGAGGAAGATGATGGTTACAGTAACAAGGTAACAAGGCACAAAGTGGCCATCTAGGTGCCCCCTAGAACAGTTACCTTCTCCAAGGCTGTTGGGGCTCTGGCTCTTTCTTGTAGTCCATCACTTTGTAGCGTCCAAGATGAGATGGTGTCCTGACTATTTTCATTCCTGCTCCCTTTAAAACAAAGAATAAAATGTTTGCCTATGCATAAGGATGCCACCTCTCGTAAGTTCAAGGGCAGAGATGATTTTCAATATTAATGTAATCATCTCAGCAAAATGCAGAAGCTGAAAGGAGCACGTTTGACAATTTGGTGCCAAACTATGTTCCCTAGGGGGTTCTAGGCAGTTTTGGGCAGCGAAGTGCCTGGTTGCTATGTGACAGGGAACAAAGAAGATTAACAAGCAGGGAATGAACAACAGTGTACAGACCCATCCAAGAGCAACTCCCATGCATCTGACAAGTAAGCATTATTTTCACTTCTACAAGCGCAGAGCTTCTACTAGAGGTCATGTTGTTCATGGTTTTTTTGTTTTTTTTTTTTTTTGGGGGGGGGGGGGGAAGACTTGCAGTTTCTATAAGGAACCCAGTCTAGAGTCTCAGCTCTAGATTAAGTCTCTTGTTCTTTGACTACTGCCATTCATACAGAGGGGTCTGATGAGAGCACTGACTTCATGAAAGAATGGTGATTAATAACACATACCAAAGCAACAAATGCAGGCTGGTCAGCTGCAGTACACTTTGCCAAGTACCAATTGAGCAGAAGCTTCAGAATTCCAGCACAGAATTGCTAAAAGCTGCATTTTGGGTGACTTGCAAGAAACCCATTGCTGATGGCATCTATATTAGCTTACCAACAAAAACTGCCAGTAAAGTGCTAGCTCTAGCAAACCTCTGTTACCATAGATGGTTCTTCTGCAAAGAAGATTCCTGCGAAACGTATATTACAGTGAATGTTTGCTCAATTTAGCCCATCTAACTGGCACGTTTGTAACGTTTGGTTGCCTTCTGATGTGATCTAGCAGCAAGCCGTACAGAAGCACGATTGGTACAAAGCTGAAAGAAACAGGCTAAAGAACTTAAGAGATCTGTTGGTCTAGAGATAGCGAATGATTACAACAGTTCATTAAGAGTACTGAAGCATTTGATAACATATTATTTCAACCTGGGTTTTAGACAAGACTTCTTATTTTCTGGACATAGGCATATTGCACATTCAATCCAAAAGACAAGAAAAGGTAGGAATGCTGAACTAGTTTTGCTGTTGCAGTTTTTATACTGCAAGATTAGCTAATAACACAATATGAAACACTTAAGACAACATTCATGTACTGTTTTAAAAAGAACCCCAACAGACTTTTTCCTGTAGTTGATGTTAACAAGTAAGTGGTTCTAACTCAAGTTGTGTTTTCTTCTAATAAAAGGTGGATGTTGGTGCTTACCGGGACTAATATTTAGCTTTAAGAACTAAATAATAGAGTACTGCAGTCTGCCAATTCTTAAGCAGCAGCCAGCACTTCTTGGGGGAGGGGGGCTAATTCTGCTTTAATAACCAGCATTCCAACAGGAAATCTTTACATAAGACAGACTTCAATGTCCAGTTTCAGATACCAATTTATTTTTGTTGCTCCATGGTAGGAAGTGCTTGAGCACTTTCTAAAATCCAAATCCCAGTAGGTGTATCGTGTTGGCCACTCAAAAACAGCCAGATCATTTCCTGACTTTGCAAAGTTGAATAAATCATTAACAGTCACTGCCCATGACCTCTATGCACCTATGAGCCACAGTACTGCTAATCAATCATTTGTATAAGTTTTCACAGAACAACACAAGATTCGCCTCCCTTCTAGTAAAAGGCTATTTTGGGATCTATATAACCTACTTACCTTAAGTGATTTCTGTAAGGAAGCGCACTCATACCCATAATCGGTATAAGTCTTCACCACTGGTACTTGAAAACCACACTAAAAGCCCAAGTTGTACTGAGAGATGAATAGACTCAGCATTGTAGTGTTTGATTTAAAGATCTACTTTCCTGGCATTCCATTCCTCAGTAAATGTCGACTTGCTAAACAATCGTATACTCTTTTAGTCAGCTTTCTTTGAAAGGAAAAGGAGGAATTATATGTTAGAAAACCTAACTTTCAATTCCCAAAAGAATACTGCTTTGTAAAAACTCCCACAGTCCTTGAACAGAACATTCCACTGAAACTGTATAACTTGTCATGCTGTGCAAGATCCAAAAAAAATTAAGTCTTTATTGCCAGTTTATAAACTCCTCATGAGCGTGGCTCAGTGCACAATGATGAAGGCGCACTCCAGATGAAATGCAGCTACAAAGCTGGATAAAGAAGATACAGCCATGATTTTGTACTCAGAATTTGCATTATGTAGAGTATGTGGAACTAAAGTGATCAAATTCACTTCAGCGTACTGCTGCCATAGCAACAAAGGTACAAGAAAGAACAGATTTTTTTTTTTTGGCTCTCACTGACTCATAGCAGTACATAGACTTCTCAGTCATCCAACACTGGAGACAGAATTTCTTACGTTCCTTAATTCCAAGCACTAGTTAGTATTTAGAGCAATATGTACATACAGCACATCTTAAATTCCCAATTGTTTGGGAATTAAGAAGTACCTGTTTTACTGCCTTCTTGATTTTCTCATTCATCAAGCTTATATATTCCTGCCCTTGGGGGCTCTTAACATCAATGAAGTTACTTGTCAACTACTGGTGGTTATAACCCCTTGGAAGCATCCCAGAGCAACCGAAGGCACAAGGTTGTGAATTAACGTTCTCTGCCACCCAGAGTCTGAAGAAAGTTTTGTCCTCCCAGTGCACAATGATTAGATTCATAGTGTCTAAGCATTTTCTGACCTCAAGCATGTTAAGGAACCAAGTTTCTTAGTTCCTTTCTTAGGGTAATGCTATATGTTTCACAAGCTATCTTGGTTCTATTTTAAGAGTATGTATGTGTCCTGTGCATCAGTACCTTGTAGCAATGTCGTCATTTTCACCATCATCACCCCAGTATGTGTTTGGAAACCCATTCATCTTCATGTAATGCTCTGGAGTCAAAGCAGATACACCCCCAAAAAAGGACTTATATGGCAGACTAAAGGAGGAGAAAAAAAAAAAAAGAAAAAGTAACAAGATTGAGGGCTAATACCAATCCGTCACAAACTATCTAACATCATCATCCAAGTCACATGCATTTTAATCTTGTAACTTGCAGACCTTTTTTTGTAAAAGTAGATGGATGTGAAATGGCAAGTTTAGAAAAAAAACAAAAACAAATAAACAAACATTAAGTACCCAAAGGAAAGCTCTAAGCCTTGAATTAAGACATTGCCATTGTAACATCAAAACAGCAAATTCAGCGTAATTCCTTTCCCCCCACCAGGAGCCCAAAGTAAAGCTGGTTTTAAAATTAACAATTTTTAATTCCAAACACTGTATCATATCCCACATCTTCCACACATTACATAGTCTAATAATTTCCATCTTATATTTTTATTCTGGAAGAAAAGGCAAACAGAAAAATCTGCGAGCATGTACCAGACCGGTGGTAGGATCATCGGCTGACCTGAGCTAACAGTAGAATAGGGAACTGCAGGCAACTGTTCAAGATTGCAAGCTTAGGTTAAGAATATCCTTTTCTGGTGAAAGAACTAGTACCAAAAAAAAAAAAAAAAAAACCTCTTAAAGGTTATGTTTTTCATTGTTCCTGTTCATACTATCTGTATCCTGAAAGGGAACTAATTAGAATACATACATCCCAAAGCAAATGGAGGCACTTACTTGTACTGAAACTTATCCATGGCACTTGCCATATGTTTGGGATAGTATTCATCACAAACATAGAGATTATAATCGTTTTCAGGTATTAGGTCCACATCATGCAGGAGAAGGCAGTCCCAGTCTTCATCCTTCAGGGCTTCCCGGACACCAACATTAAGCAACTTTGCTCGGTTAAAGGTACCATTCCCCACCTGGAAAAGAAAACCTGCATTTCCTCGCCACAACAGTAAAGATGATAATTCCATTAAAATTGATGTTAGTGCAAAAGCCTTATTCAATTCAGCGACACCGGAGTGAATCAGTGCTGGCTGCAAATCTAATGTCACAGACTGAAAACTTTGTCCACTCTCTTCACAATATTCTCATTGTTATAAGCTTTCTGCATCAGGGGTGATATACCACGAGCACACAAAGGCGGCCAACTTTTAAGAGATCAGTAAGTCAATTCTCAGGTCTACATCTGCACATCAACACTTTTGCCCTTACTACTGCTTGTTAAGTCTGGGAAATGAGTAAATACCTTGATGATGAAAAAGCTTCCTCTCCTTCCCAGTCAGCTATCAATTTTCTTTAATGAGCCCAACATTTCCCCACCTCCATCAGTAAGCAATAGCTGTTTGACCTGCACAGGTTGGCCCACAGCAAGGTCAAGTCAGATGTTTTTATGTGATATTGAGCACAAACTAAAGATCTCCCACTTCCATTTTAGCATTTACTCTCAACAGTTTACTCAGCAGCTATACTGACAGGCTACAGATAAACTGCATTTCAACCCTCCCAAGAGCTGAAAATGCAAGCTACAATTTAAAGATAGCTTTATCCCCATAGCAGAGAAAAAAACAAATCAATAGCAGAGTGATGATGATCTCAGCAAGTGGTAAGATACTTCAGTGAGGAGTAGCCCTGGAGATAGGGCAGGATGCAACTGACCTGCTCTCAATCCATACATAAAATGTTACTTCCACATTAGAAGATTTACATTTCTCATTCAGAACCTAACTGCATAACTAAAAAGCTCAGTTACATCACCAGACACATCCAACTTAGATTTACCTGCTGAATCAAGTAGATGCTGTAACTGAGCTGCTGGCGCTGCAAGAAAGGATGAAGATAGTACAGAAAATGGTGAAGGTACTTCTCCTGGTTCCTGTATGCTACAAGGATGGCTGATTTGTAGCGGGCTAAGCAATGAGGAGGTCTGTAGCGGCCACCAGACTGAACAAGAGGATTTTTTTGGATGATCATTCTTTCACTGGGGAGCACCCTGAAGGTGATGGTTAAGGGACCAACTGCAAGAAGAGACAGATAGAAAAAAAAAAAAAAGGAAATAAGGTCAGTGATGTTTCTCAACTGTCACTCAATCTGATCAGTTGTAGGTATATGTAGCTTATCTGAAAACACCTGCCCTACCCATAGCACAGAACTGTCAATAAGGTGATGCAGCTGCGCCCACATGATGATTGCCATTGCTACTCCCCAGACACCTCATCGTGGATCCACGTAGCACTAGGCTGGCAGCTGCCTGCCAGAGAGACATCAGGAATCCCACCGCAGCCAGCAAATCTCACTAGGTTCTTACACGGCTTTCTTTTTGCTGCTATCGGCTCTCCATAGTACAAGCAAACTGTGTGTGTTGTGTTGTTTGGTATCCTTAAATAAATGTATTCGCTGCAAGAGCACAGTTGAAAATGGATCAAGATGAACAGACATGTCTCCTTTTGGTATCCATATGGAAAAAGCCTCTATCTAAGCCTCTTTTTCAGGTGAGCTCCAAGGACAAAAACATCCAAAAGAATTTTCAGTGAACTTGGAAAAAAAATTCAAAGCCTGGAGGAATACAAATGCTTTAGGAAGTGTTAGCTTTTCTAAAAGAAAATTTAAAAAGTAAAGTTTTAAGTTAAATTTGAAGTTATGGTAGCCTGCCGTACAGGCTGTATTCACTATATCATTTAATTATATACCCAGTAATAATCAGGCAGTATTTTTGCTATCAAAATTTTAAGACAAGCAAACTACTAAGTTGAGAAGGAAGAAGACGGAGTTGCATACTTACAGGAGGCACAGCGTAGCAAGATGAACTACAAGTAATATTTTCTCTACTCAATACATCAATTTTAAATATACTGGATATGCATTACATTTAACAGTTTTACTTAATAAAAAAGAATGCTGGCTTTCTGCATTTTTATCTGAATCTTGCTGTTCTTCAGGAGGAAGACCAATCACTTTTTTTTTTTTTTTTGACAAATCACAAATTATTTGACAAATTACAAGTAAAAAAGAACAATCAATATAAAATGTTAATCACCATCTGAACAGAAGTCTCACATTTTAACAATATGAATAAACACATCAAGTTCTACAATTGCTTAAATGCATATATAGCCTGTCCTTCTGGGTAGTGAGAAGAGGTTTCAAAATTAGCAAAATAGTTGTATTTAATTGCAAATCACTGTGGCTTAACAGTTTCCAACCACTGACAGTCAATCTCTCTAAGAAAATAAAGCAGAAATGCAGAACAAGATTAACATCTATTACTTCTATGAACTAGCAAGAAATCTTCACTTAAATCACAATTAAAAGCTGCTAATTTCAAACTATAGCTTTAAGTAGCTCCAATCACTCTCTGCAGGCTATGCTACCCAAAGACAAAGTATTTTGTATCAAAAACCTGCGGGGCAAGATTTTTTTTTAAGCCACTGTTGAGTTTTTCTTTTCCTTCTAGGCTTACAGTCAACGCTGTGGCCATTTTGAAATGAGCTTTCAGTATCAAAAAATTCAGACTCCCTCTTAAACTACTGAAATAAACTATTTTTTTCTCTCAAAAAGCTTTAGATAACAATGCCTAGGAGACACGGAGTAAGTATTCAGGGACTATATTAGTAGTATTTAGTGTAAGTATTTATGTTTACTGGCTTTCATTTAGCAGGGGAAGGTATGGGTGAATCTTAAGTCTAATAAATATTTAAGCAAGTGGATCCAGAAGATGTTTCTTCCAGCCCATCCGATATTCAAGTCTCTGCTTACCCATATTGTTTAATTGACTCAGAAGGGAGCAACATCCCCTCTCACTGCTTTTTTTAGAGAACTAACAAGGCCAAGGAACACAACTTCGGAGTAAGACTCAGGCTATTTACCCGGAAGGGAGAAACATGTTGCCTGTATGTAGAAGTTGGTATGCTTCACATTTCTGACAGGCAAAGCTATTCTCCACAAGTCTCCTCTTCGTCCTCAAAAAATATACACAATTGCACTTCCTGAAGGGCAGTTTATGCAGCAATGGATCCCATTCCTCAAACCTTCACAAAGGACTAGCCTCTGTTAATTCCACTTCAAGTTTTATTTTTTGCCCCTTAATAAGGAAAATCTGGGTTGACCTTGTCAGCGTCAGCAAATGACAAGGTGTTGCAATACTGAACTCTTAGGTATTACTTTTAAATCCTTCCCTCAGTGTCTAAAACAGACGGGGGGTTGATTTCAACTCTCTTACCTGGAGCATCAATATGCAAGTACAATGTATTTATGCCTGAAACAGAATAGTAACAGTTCTTCAGAGAACAGACTGAAGGCTCATGAATCTAGATCACATTTACTGTTAAGATATCATGTTATTATCTACTTCTATGAAGCCAGTTTCCTGTTCTGCCTTTAGAAGACCACATTTCAGCCCAGCATTGCTTTTAACTTGTCATTTATGTTGCTTTTTACATTTATGAACTCCCTCATTATCAGTTCTTTTCACTAAAGCACCATTAACCACTGAATCAGTAGCAACTGGCGCTTGCTAAAGAGATGTTATATTCAGATTGGATTACATCTGCACATCATTGCTCCAAGGAAAACGTAAGAAAAGGAATTAAACCCTTTTATTCTCCCACAAAGGCATGATTTTATTTTCTCCAATACAATCAGGGCCCTTCATATCGCAGAGCAGGATTTGCAGTATTAATCCTTACATTCCAAAAATCAAATCTAAATTTGGATATAAGGGTAAGAGTAAGATAACGTGCAATAGCTTCGCTCCTGTCTCCCTCTATACCTAGATACATGATTCATGAGGGTAACATCTACATTCATCAGGTTTTTCAAGATGTTATGTTCTCCCGAGCTTCCTGACTCCATACCCCGAAGGGCTCAGCTCAGAAACTCAAATCTTAACATGTTCCAAGGAAACACAGACAAAGAATTTAAAGTCTGTGACTTATATCCCCAAAACTTCTGGCTGCCCCACACTCCTTGGCTATAAACTAAATTCTGGCTCTCTAGACTCCTTCCTGTCCAACTTCAACTAACGAAAGACTAATGCACTGTAATCCAATTAAATCCCAGATGTGGACAGAGCAGTCGCAGGCGGGTCCAAACACGCAAAAACAAAACAGCTAAAGCTCAGCTTTAGGAAAGGAGGCAAAATCCATCTTAGACATGCTAGAGAGCACAGAATCCCAATTCAGATGAGAAATAAAATCAATATATTTGAGTGTCCAAACAATTTTCTTCTCAGCCTGGTTCCTGAGCTCTTTCGGCATCTGTACCGCCAAATGGAGGGTGTTTAATATGAACCGGAAACTTTACCGCGAAGAGTTAAAAACCACAATTCCCTGTCCACATTGTCAGCCGGTTCCAGTGACAGCACACTCCACTATCTGCTTCTTTCACTTTTTAGGCAACATGTTTGAATATCAGGGGGATCTATTGCTTTTGATTAGACCTACTCCATCTTACGAAAGGAACTACATGACTTCTAAACACCTTCCTCCCATACGTTTAGTTCAGAGCAAGCAGTTATAATTACTGAGTTCAATAAGGATAAGCAAAACTTATACAAGCTAGCCAAACAGAAATAGTAGTGTGGATGAAAATCTCAAAGAGAAAATGCATCAGCACACTGTGTATTACTGTAGTCATATTTGTATAATTCTACCATCACTTGGATGAAAAAAATAAAGAGCAAACAGCCTTAATTTAAACACCAATTTCCAATGATAGACTATGAGGCTGCCTCAACAGTAAAGATAAATCTCAGCACCACCACCACACTTCTTAAACACAAGGGAAAGAACCTTTAGTAGGAGAGCATCCATTAAATGGCACAGCATGAACTACTCACTACCAGAACGGATGGACACGCTCATGAAAAGGTTATGACAGAGGGGACTAAAAGGGAGTAACTGCTGTAAGAAGCGGTTGAAAGAAGTTCTTCCATGGCATGAACATATTGAAAACATCAGAGTTACAGACAGAACTTTGACCTATTAAAATCTGCAAGGGCCAAATTAACTCACACAAGCACGCATCATGACGTCAGGCACCTCTTTAAAAAAAAAAACAACCCAATTCTTCTAGCATCAAGCTTCTTCCTTCTAAGAGGAAAAGATGTACTGAAAGAGACTATCATGTAAAGTGAGAAACGCAGACTTCAAATGTAAATGCCAGTGGGTACGTTTTGAAAGGCTCAACTTGAGCATATGAATACTCCGTTTATTCAAAAATGAAGAAGAAGGAAAGAGGCAACTGATATCTGTGTAGAGACTTTAACCTTTAAGGGAATTGAAGTAACTCATTCTCAATATTAACGAAGAAACTGAATATGTAGTACAGTGCTTTTCAAATTATGGATCACAAGAGGCTCAACAGGCAGCGGTAAGGCTTAAAAAAGTAACACTAGTCAGCAAAAATTCAATTCCTCCCAGGCAAAGATGTTGAGCAATTATACTTTAAGTTAATTCTTACTCCCCTAACGTGGAAAAAATCAAGATGCTAGGAATCAAGATGCTATGGATTTAGGAAGCTGGAAAAAGATGAGCTGCAAGCTGACCTTATATTCAAAACAATTAGTGAAATGACCTACGGCATACATAAGTGGAGAAAATGCTGCACTTCATAAAAGCCCTGATCCATAAATCATTTAAGGCATCTGGCATTCATCCAGTTACTTTAACATACTTTGGAGTGGACACAGTGACTTATTACCAGCTCTGAATTGGAGACTGGAGTCCACAAGAATTGATATGAAATTTCATTTAATGGAGTTGATGAAATTAATATTAAAAGGCATCATTCTCTCTGATGTAAGGTTTCCAACAGAGATCGGACCCATGAGAGAAGAAGATAATCAATCAAGACATTTATAAACTATTTATATATCTAGTCATATGTGCCCATCACCTAAAAAACAAGGGCAAGTATCCTGAGCGTGGCACATGCTTTTAGGAGAAAAACAACCAAACCTCTCCCTCTCCCTAAAGAAAACACTGGGAAGAAGTTGACACAACATCAGAAAGAATAACTTGTTTCTTACATTTAAATAGAAACATGACCAAGTAAAATTTAAGTTGTAGCAGAGTGTTTTCACTTAAACTGAACCAGTATCAACACTCCAAAAGATTTAAGTGCTTCACAGCAGCAACATTTCACACACACAATTATAATTTCTTGTACAGAAACACTTCCACAAGATTGTGTGCCATACTTTTTCCCTTCAAGTGAACTTTACTGTTTATTTCTGTTTATAATGAACACTATGCTTTCATCTGAGCTCTGGAGTACCACATGCATGCCATCGTCTGTTCTTAACACTCCCAAGGATGGAGGGAGTAAGAGGTCTTACAAGGTTTCCATAGCTCTAAGAGCACTGACTATTTCAGTGTAATTTTACTCTGCTTCTGCCTCGTCCACACGTGCCACTTACTCTCGCTTATCCAATGGTTTGCAGGGAAACTCTGAAGACATACACCTATTTTTTTAGTTAGATCAAAGCTTCCTCATTTGTCTTTCCAGGACAGCAGGTTCTTGTCAGTAGTGGAAACAAGCAAGATGCAAGCATACTTCCACTATGCTTTTAAGTAAAAAGCAAAGAAGGCTGGGACACAAAATTGTAGCTTCTCAAAAGAAATGATGGGTTCTAGCTAGTGATGAACAGAGACGACAGCAAGACCATAACAACTAGCACTTGCACCTGTGCAAAAAGCCTCCGTACTATCGTTATTTCAGCAACATATACTTGGAAACATACCTGTTTCCAAGAGAAATGCTGAAGCATATACCCAAAAGTTATCATGCAATTTCATCATACATGCCGCACATATTTCATTTAACTGCAGCAACAGAAGAAGGAAGAAAACTCCCCAAAAGAACAAGCATCATCATGAACACTGCAGAGTCAAAGGGCTCATCCACAGTGGCCCAGCTGAGTCCTCCAGCTTAATCATGTGACTTGACACAAGTACACAGCACCAACTTTCTATAATACTTCCTGTGAGCCAAAGTCAGGCATTGACTCTTTCCAAGCTCCATGTGCAGTGATTTGCTTTCCTACAACACTAGTGCAATAACTAAATAGCACTTCAAGACTGGTTATAGGTAAGATTTTAATATACAGAAATCTGTGCAATACAGAAGAACAGAAAAGAGTAACTTACGACACAGAACACCAAGAAGCGGGAATATTCACACCAGCTACGTGTGCATGGTTACAGAATTTATATCCACTTTTAGCTCTCTTGGTGGAACTGAGTCACTATTACCAGAGATACTAACTTCACTCTAACAGACTTACTTTATGGCTTTGACTTTACATTTACTCAAAGTTTCTCAACCATTTTACTACTGCAGTAACCAAATTAATGCTGTCTCTAAACCCAGCTCTAATGTGAACTCTGCGACCAAACTTACAGTTTAAAGCCTAAAGGAGAAGACCTAGGAAGCATTATCAGCCATAGGCCAACAAAGCACCAGGAAAAGTAAGATACCAAGCTTTTCAGGGTGCCAAACCCCATTCTCATGGAAATCATACTTAAAGCTAACATCACCAACTTAACTGAGTCTCAGGCTCAGCATAAGGCTGAAATAAAGAACCCAGGCGAGTCAAAGAGCATAGAGGTCAATGTTGCCAGTTTCTAGACTTAGGACGATTTCCAAAGCACAATCGTTGACAGACATTTGACGCATGACAAGTTATTAAGAGAAAAAGCAACTTTATGTCAAAAACCTATGACTAATTTAGTGTTAAGGGTGTGTTTTGCTCTCATTCTTGTTCCCCTACAATCTCTGCAAAAGCCTTAATATTGAAAGAGTTTACATCAGTAAAATGCTTTTCCAGTTATACCAAACAACTTTGCCAGTGTAATTATAACATCATAACAAAGCATATCGCTTTGAAAATGGAACAGGTATGAAAACACAGCTTACTTTTATGAAATGTGCAATGTCATTATACCCCAAAGCAGTATTTCAACCACTACCAGTTCATACGTACCAAATATTGGTGACTGCACAGAGCAGTATGGCATAGCTTCTTCATTAGGAGCTTGGGTAAACAAGCTGAGGTTTGTATACACATCATGAGTTTTTGAGTAATCCTGACTCTGATGTGAATCTAAGATCCCACGAAACACATGTGAAGGTCCACCTTGGTACAGTATCAGGATAAATATCGCTTGGAAGACAAACAGGAAGAGCAGAAAGCAGGGATTTTCAACACGGGACAGGGACATCGTTTTTAGACCATCAGACTCGTGAGGAGTTTGGCTGCCTTTCACAAGCTACCGTTCTCCTTTCAGGGCTACATGAGTGCGAACAGAAGAGCTCATCCTCTTCCAGAATTAACTTTCCTCAAGCAGCAGGAGCAGCACGTGGTTCCAGAAGCATGGCTCCGTCAGGAGGCTTCGGGCCCCCGCCCGGTGCGCTAGAGCCAAGCCATCGCTTCCCGCTGCCGAATCTGCACGGCAGGCGACAGGACACAAACAACTGTTAGCGGCCACCCCGAGTAGAAGAGCCGGG